CTCAGCTACTCATGTCAGACTAAAGCATTGTGGCCATCAATTATTCAGTCAACGAATGGATCTATTACTAATAGAGAGCGGGGATCCAAATAAGAACAAGATGAGGGGCTATTTCCAGAAGACACCATCAGAAGGAGAGCCCAAGAGCAGGACAATCACAAAACAGACTGCAATTTGTTTTCTTAATGAAGAGATAGAATATTAAAATTGAAGACAGTCCAAAAATATTTCAATCTCGTGAGTAATTTCAACAACAACAACAACAAAAAAAAACCTAGTGCAAGATAAGGCAGGAAGAGCCATGTTGGGAAGGACAAGGCTAAGATACAGAGGACTGGATCTCTGTAATAACGGGTCCACCATGAGTTGCCTGGAGAGGCTGCAGGTGGGCAGCAGGAAGCCACCATGGGAGCAGATAGCCAGGGCCCATGAAGCAAACAGCAATATTTAAGTAAACTTACTGATGCTCACAGCGATGTAATTTCTAACCATGAACTGTCTCCCCAAGTGTGTGAGTCTGGCCGTGCACGAATAGCTCCCACGGTCCTCTGCAGCGACATTGTTCACAAGAAGCTTTGTTCCCGAAAATGTATACTGCTTCCCTGGTTTAATCTCTTCACAACCCTAAAGACACACACATGAGAATTGAATGAGGACTGGGAAATGCTAGTTGCTGTGTTAGTTAGCATTATTCTATGAGCTCCGGGGAGACATAACTTCTATATTCACATGGTCACCGACAATTCAAACCTTAGTTATTAACAATCTAACCAGAAGACAATGCATAATATATACCAGATAGATGCTAGGTGGATGGGTAGATGGATGGATGATGGATAGATGGATGGATGGATAAATGGATGGATGGATAGATGGATGGATGGATGGATGATAGATGGATGGATGGATGGACAGTAGATAGATAGATAGATAGATAGATAGATAGATAGATAGATAGATAGATAGATAGATAGATAATAGACTGATGGATGGATGGACAGTAGATAGATAGATAGATAGATAGATAGATAGATAGATAGATAGATAGATAGATAGGACAGTGGGATTAATGAACAAACAGATTAAGGCTGTTGTGCTAGTCAGTTTTCTGTCACTTTGACAAAAACACTTGACATAAACAACTTAAAGAAAACATTTAATGTACGTGTGGCTTCAGAGGTTTTGCTCCATCATGTTGAGAAGTGTGTGGAGGAGCATCAGAGAACATACTAAGGAAGCCAGGAAGTAGACAGAATGTCTGAAGTAACAGACCTTCTCTTTTTCCTGGTGATTTCATCTGGAACATGGCCTATGAGATGGTACCACCCACATCCAAGGCGGGTATTTTCCCCTTAATTAGTCTTCACTGGAAATGCCCTGAGAGACACACCCAGAGGTGTTCTTTAAAATCTTAAGCATTTCTCAAT